TTTTTTTTGGACTCGTCATAGTAGGAAAGGCACAGGGGTAACTAATAACATTAACGATGGCTCTGTTCTATTCACGTGTCCCAGTGAGTCAGGACAGTGTGACCGAGAGCCGGCACGCACGATACCAGGGAGCCTGAAACCACTGTAAATGTAAAAACAGCATCATTAACTCCATTACACACACCTGTGCTTTTCCTTCTGCGACATATGTGGCATGAAAAAGGGGCCTCCTGTTTACAGTACAACTCTGTATTCATCCTAGTTTATTAGTACTTATTATTAGTATTAGTAGTCTGTAAAATGAAGGTTGACTACTTTTCAAATACTGCAAACTCATCTGAAATTCATTTTTTTTTTTTTTTTAAAACCTAATAACTGCTGTCTTGCTTATCATAGCAGCAAACTGGTGTAATAATGCAGACAGGCCCTTTTTCACTGCAGATGTTATGAGGCGTCTGAGCAGGGACAACACAGGTGTAATTAATGACAGTAACGAGTGCACTCCGTGGCTGTGGTGTTGTGCACGTTTGGCTCGCTTGCATGCGCTCGTTAATGTTATTAGTGACAGCTGTGTTGTCCCTGCTACGTTGAACTGTGAAAAAAGGCCCCAATGAACAAGAGCATCTCTGATTCTGTAGGAGCCATGTGGAGATAAAACTAAAGGTGTTATTCTTTACGATAACATTGTAGTCTTAATTAGTTTCATCATTCTATTAAATTGTAGAAAAAGAAAATGAGTGTACTAGACCTACAAAATTCAAACACAAGACTTCCTCATTTTGTGAACTATTTTGGGTGATGAATACCACAGTGATCGGCTAGTTTTAGAGATTTTAGAGGTGAAAAAAGCCTGAATATTCAGAATTTGACAGTACCTGTTGGATTCTTCCCCTTTGTAGTAGTCTGCTGCTTGTTCATAATGTGCAATAGCCTTTACAAAGGGAAAAACAACACAAATACTGTTGAAATATGCCCTGTAGTGATAGTATTAATAATTATCAGCAGTATTAACCGACCCTGAAACCGAGATATTACCTTCTCGATATCCACCAGTTCGGACTCGTAGATCTCTGCGACATTGATGTGGTGTTTGGCTGCGATGGTAAATCTTCCCTGGAGGATGAGGGGGAGGAGGAAGAGAAGGAGAAGGAATCGTTACTAACTGGATAAACCCACAGACCCCTCTCGAGTCAATGAAAATGCTGCATTACATTCTCTGTGCAGAGAGGCGAGGTCAAGCAGTAGCCTGTGGCTTCACGTCTACAAGGTTTTAGCTTTTTAATCCTCCCTGACGAGAATAACGAGTATGCAACTTGATCAAGGTATCAGTGTTAACAAACAACAAACTTTAGTGTGCTATAAATATGTAGATATGACAAATATTAATAATCTGGGAGTGGGAGGAAAGGCAGGCAAGTCTGCTTCATCATGCGTGTATGAACTACTAAACACAACTAATCAAAATGGCTACATGTGCTGTTGTGAATCAGAACTCTCTACATGCATCTTACCATGTCTGTGTATATATCGATGGCCGCATTTAAACACTTGATTGCCTCTTTTGGCAGCATAAAGGCGAGAGGAGGGTACAGTTAGACATCCTGTTAGTTTTGTTAAAATCTTACAGAGCGTTGCACAGCACCTCACTGCGCATCAGTCCGCATGCTGTGTTATTTCAACAGGGTGAAATGAGGCGAATCATACAATCAAAGTTTCTCATATGCTGCATGCAGTCGGGTGTTATTTATGACAAGCAAGGCCCTCTTCTACAAAACAAATACTGTACATATGACGGCTACCATCCCCTAAACCTATGGCTGCAACTATATTTAGGAGAATATGACGAAGAAGATGCAAGCTTGATAGTCGACTTTACCACAAACAGTATTCTAGTCATGGATGTGATAGATGAAAGCAACAACTCTCATTACTTAAAACAGTACAAATGATGTATCCATAAAAAAGGAAATAAAAATTCAGGCACAAAAAGTAGGATATGTTTTGAAATGAGGTTTGAACCGAATGCGTTACCACATAATCTCACCATTGGGGTCAGACTTCTTGTAAGCATTTCCTGCATCAATGAAACTGGTGGCGCAGTCATGTTTGTTCTGCAGCTGCAGGTGCAGCCGTGCAGCCTTGCAGAACGCACTTCCAGCCGCTGAAGACAGAAGAAAGAAGAAAAGGACACTTACTCAATGCTTTGCATTTAGTACACTCTAATTTATGCACATAATTCCACCTATTTTCTGTTTTTTTGTACTTGTGGCACCTTCACGAGTGCTGTGCTTTGCAGTTATAGTGCCAAAAATTCAACACATAATCCTACGGCTTCTCAAGTGTGTGGAAATTGATACGGTGGATAATATCTTTAGTAGCAACATCAGCTTATCGCACCGCTCCAGTTCTTGGCCATCTTGAACATGTTGGCTGCTCTGCAGTACATCTCACATGCTTCTTCCACTTTGTGAGGTCCTCTAGACAAAGAAAGGAAACAAAGAGGAAACAGAAGTACACAATTAAATATAGTTCACATGTTCATGCAGGCTCCTCAGCATACTACGGTAACAAACAAATCTGATTAACGTGCAAAGTTGCTGCATTTCTCAGAGAGATGCAATGCTCAGATTGGTAGACTGGCTTAAATAAATCCCTCTAAACAGGCACTGTAGATCTCCCTCCCTCCATGACAACGAGTCCATGGAGTTCATGGAGTTGTAATAATACTCTGGCCATTCAAATCATGAAAGGGATTACATCACTGCCTGGTCAGAAAGCCTGCCAAGAGTTATCACGCACGAGAGCTGCCAACTAGTAACATCTAGGGGTCACCTAGGACAGAAAAACCACTGAGTCATGCCAGACAATAGCTGCTGGCTTTTTGTATTTGGACCGATGTAGACAACAGCATCCTCGCCTTATAGGGTACCTTCTTGGAGAATACTTAAGTCATTTTTGTTGCACATCACTCCTGCATGGTGCCATACCATTCCTGTACTCCCTACCATGTTTGTACGTACCATGTAATATTGGTATCGTCAACATAAACAGGCTGAAACCTTCAGTATGAATCATGACAGAGGTTTCCCATAATAATCCTTTAACCTCTATGAAACCCTGGTTATATATGTTTTGGTGTTAATGTGTGCACTGATAAAAAGGAGAAGAGGAGAATGTTTTGAAATATGAAATATGTCACCTCGCAATATACAGTAAATACAGTCAAAGTAGATGTTTTAAATTAGCTATAAACAGTCTGCTGCGTAGCTACCGAGCATTAGTTCCAGGAGAGAGTCGTGATCTGCTGGCTTGTTTACAATGATGCTAACAGCTAATTTATCTAGCTAACTGACATACATGAAATGTTAATGTCACGTGTCGTCCCCCTAGTTTAATATCTAACTACTACAATATCTTGCTAATCAATACATCGATAGCTAACTGAATGTATGTGTACATAAAGGTCGGTAGCGTGCCAACTTTGCTACTGCCAGTTAATGCTCGCTAGCTGTTTGTTCTTTGGTGCAGTGCTGCTGTCTTACCCTCCAAACATCCCTCCCAAAAAAGAGCCAGAGGACTTGACTTTTTTGTCAGCGTCGGCCATTAGCTGAATCGCTTCCTTCTCTTTCCCACTGTTGTCCATTGTCTTTGCTTTATATGAGACAAAGTTATGGTGAGAGGCAGAACAAATAACCCGCAGAGTATTCCGCTGTTGTACAGTGAGGATTACAGTCGACGGGGTTTATTCAGTGTAGGCGTGTACCAAGCTAGCGGCTTAGCCGAGTTCCGTTGCATGGCGGGAGTTTGAGTGTATTACGTGACAAACGCAGTTGGCTTCAAGGCGAAATAAACTACAACTCCCAGTAAAACACGAAGCTATTTTTAACTCTGACGGTTATTCGCAAAAATAAATAAGTATTTGTTTGTCATTACATTTTACACACTATCTAATCACATTTCCACTTTTTCATAAAGATAAAATAAATATTATATTGTACAACAATATATATATATTTACAGTGTACGTAGTGTTTCCGTTCAACAGAGGGCGCTAATACTTTATCAACTGACCCGGAATTTTCTTTTTAAGTAGTGCTCAGTATTAATTTAGTAGAAATAGAGTTGAGCCATATTTTTAGGTCAACTGCACATTACACTTCACGTCATACTGTAGTAATATAAAAAGCTGCGTGGATTTTACCACATCTTAAATGCCTGTTTTTAGTAGGCCTTTTCATGGTGGACGTAGAGCACAGGTGTTACGAATAACATTAATGACAGTCTGTAGCATGTAGGTCAAATAAACTCCACGTCGACATGCAACGACATTACATGCGCTTACATGTGAATGCATCAGAAATAATAATACAACAATGTTAAAAAACAGTCTAAATAAAGCACTTATTTTGAATAGAGCGCGTGTGCTTTGATATACTGTCTGATAATAAAGGAATAATGACTGTGCTTGACTGTGAGTCAGCATGCACAGTGAGGCCCACGTCCTGGCACGGGCACGCTTCATTAGACAGCACCAATGTTTGTTCTCCAAACCTGAAGCCTTAGCAAAAGAGGTCTACTTGTTGTTGCCTGCATATCCCACTATGCCATCTGCTCTAACAAGTGTTTAGGCCTACCTATGTGCTAAGCACCTGTGTATCTAGTTATCTTTAATTGTTAATTCCTATCTTCTTCAACCTTGCACCGTCCAACCAATGAGCTTTTATTCATCCTAGTCCAGCCTTTGTATGACCCAAGCCGACCCAAGGGAAGAGGTCAGTGATAAATCAGTTTAATGCTGAGAACTACTGTCGACCAGCGTTATCATATGATAGGAAAGAAGCTGTGTGTCATCAGTGGTGCATACTTCTGCTTTGTGTACGTGTGTTATCTTATTTTAACAGCAGTGTCAGCCGCACAACCTGTTCCAATGTTCATACAGATAAAAACATTATGTCCTTCTGTTAATAGGGTTATAATGCAGATAATTTCAGATGGAGGAATCAACAACAACCTCCGTTTTTCAAAATCTACCTCCTGGATGCGAAAGAAAAAAGTCAAAAGACAAAATAAACAAATATAGGTTTGGATTTTATTTACATTACCTTTTGTACTTTTCTGTCCTGAAGTGTATTATATACTAGATTCATACAGATACAGAGGCCATGCACAACTCAAGTCATTATGGTTTATAGTTAAGAGATTGTGTGATAAACAGACACACACACATAGTATACAATACATGGATTTGTTTTTGCTCTGATCAACATACAGCATTACCATTGTATCATAATAATACATCATATCAATATGCAAATGATGAATTATATCAAGCGCAACAAAAAGAAGATCGTTCATGCAATAAAAAGCATGGGTGTTGTGAAGTAGGACGTGTTCCTTCTGTACACACATGTCTCAACTCAAGTCTAGTCTAATAGATGAGTGAGGTATTGGCGGTTTAAAAACAGAAACAGACCTGATTGTTTTCTTTCCCCCATAAGGCTGTGGAATGTACTGTGTGCACACTGTCATAAATAAAACATTCCTCTGCTTTTCTTCAAATCAAGTAGATAAGGAGAATAAAGGATATCGCACATTCCGTATGCAGCATGTAAAGGAGAAGGAAGTGCTTCCAACAGTCAAAATGAAACAAATCCTTCACGTAGGCTGAGGCGAGCGTTTCTTAAACAGCAATCTGCACCTCCCAAAATATTCCTGTGCTGAACCAGAAATAGCAATCAGTTGCTATTACTCATTGCTCATTTGAGACAATGAGAACAACATTTAAGGTGATGGCTACATGCACAGAAAATACTAAACAGCAGAAAGAGAGAAAAAAAAGCATTATGCAACATCATCATAAACTTAAACACACAATTTGCAGTTACACTTTTTTTTTTTTACCCGTAAAACATCATATGTACTGTAAAATGATGCAACGTATTAGCTAAATACATATGCGATGTGATGTAGAGTCTTCCACCATTGTAAAGACCTCTTTACACACTATTCTGAAAAAAAAAACATGGCCGCCCTTAATGTTTTGGCAAAACATCCACGTAGATAAGCATGGAAAAACAAAAACTTGTGTGAAGATGCAATACTTTTCGACATAAGTGTAATTGAGTGGAGTGGAGATGGTTTGAGTGGTTTCACTATTGTGATTAAGTTTTCTTGTGACAATCTTCAATCAACATGTTTTCATTTGATCATCCATTCCCACCGTGGTCCTCGAAGACCTCGTCCACTGAGGTTTTGGGGGTCATTCATGAGGAGCTGAGTCCAGAATCGGACTCCGCGCTGCCTGCACGGTTCTTGGAGGCCACACAGGGAGCCATGGAGCAGGGGAAGGAGTAGCAGGAGCAGGAGCTCTTGAGGGTCTCCTCTGTGATGACCTCCTGCAGGGTGTGTTGTCCCTCTACCTGGAAGATGTTTTGCTGCTCTCCAAGCTCCTCACAGATACTAAAGGAGAAAGTGAGGAGACATCTTTCTGTTAGATCAGTGGATGCAGTTTGATACTACTGTCAGTCATTAAAAAAGACTAAACTCAATGATTTATGGAACATTTTGTAAAACAATATGGATATAATGGTATGATTTTACAACAATCACACAATCTCCTGAAAGTAGCTTAATGATTGAATTATCGCCCAGCACTACCGAGTAGTCTTGTGGATTCTTTTTTAATTTTGCACATTTTATCTGATAAAAGTGAAAGAAAAATGGTTGAATATCCGTCGGGCAATTTGCAAAAAAAAAAGAAAAGACAAGACAACTCCAGTCCATTTCTGCTAAACTAAATAGCAAAGGGGCAGTATCACCATACATACATTACTCATTCTTTCATGCACCCTAATGGAAACAGCACAATCTGCTCCATTCGTGTTGGCTAGGGGGATGATTGCACTGGTAGCCAGCGAGTTCATGCTCCCAGGTCAAATCACATGTATAGCCGAAATCCCCACCAGCGAGCTATCGCAGATCATTCCATCCCCACGTGGACAATGTCGTGCATTGTTCTCGTGAGCTAAAACCTCTGTTCCGTGGAGGTACAATGCATTTAGCTCAGCTGTGCAGGCTTACTGTTAACAGAAAAGCTGGGCCCTCAGTGCGCTGCTCTTCCCCGGCTGTGCATTCCCCCACAATGAGCTCCCTCAATCCAACGCTTCACAGTGAGTAGGTGATGTTTTTGTTCAAGCCAAGGCCAAATATTAAACAGTTGAACTTTTGCTCAGATTGAGAGTACCATCTGTCTGGGATGTTGATGTCTCCAAAAGTACAAGTTATCAACCCCCGTCTCTCAAAGTAAACACCTTCAAGGAGGAAGCTCATTGCCAGCTTTCAGAGCCTGCCGATCCAAGATAGCAAATGTAAGATGTCTGTCAAGCAAGATATTCTGCTGATGTTCAACTTGTGTCACGAGACAGAACTACTTTCCAATCCAACATAAAGTGTCCAGTGCAATCACCCCTTTTGTAAAGAAACTAAACTGCAGTACAAGCAGATCGTCTACAAACTTAATCGGTGCAAATAACAGAAAAATGTGAAAAAATATGCCGTGGCTGCTGAGAGGTGAATAGCTGTACATATGAGGCTTGCATCCTAAGACCATCCCTTCCATTCTCTTTCATGACATTTACAAGCTGCACATAGTGAGTGTGCATACATCAGCTTTAGCCAATTACATTACAACCAGCAGTAAATGCAAAGGCATATTCATATTGTTTTGGTCCACACAGAAGCCCAATATGTCAAGTAACACTACCTCATGCATGAAACAAGCCATTCACTTTCGCTGCCTCTCTTGAATATCACTAATATCATGCCAGGGGTCAGATGAGGAGGCCTTTCATAACTTAAACAATAAGCAGCCGGTAAAAAAGGGGAGTGACACGAGCCTATAAAAATAAATAAAAGACAAACATGGCAGTTGACCAATCAAACCACCATGTTTAGTACAATCCAAAAAGTATTGTACTCTCAAAAACATCAGCCAAGAGTGAGCAAATAAACAAAACACAGCCAGGAACCAGAGAGACATTACGGGAATCTGAAGAACTTGAGTCAAAATATGGCACCAAGCTTTCACAAATTCTGTAAGAAAGAGGCACAGTTATAACAACAACCTGGAGATCGTACATGAGGTTACACATGGAGTCTGCAGGGCCTGTTGGGTTGTAAACTAGGGTTCAAAGCATACGGTCTTCTGTCTGCAGGGGTCTGTTAAACGTCTGGGCTAATGTAATGTAGAGCAAATGTCCCTGAATGGTGAAACACAGACGTGAAACGGCTGCACAAACAGGCCCTGCTGAGCACGCCGCTATTCTCAGACCAAAGGAAACTCGCTGACCCCGCTAGCAGAACAGGCGTTATGCAACAGCATTGGCACGTCGGCGTTGTGAACCTGTTTCAATCATAAACATGGCGGTCAATGAATGATCAAACCACTTACAGCAACAGCTGTGGCAGATGCCATGTGACTAACGGGTCTGCCAAGGCTTGGTGATATAACCTTGAACCCATGAAACTTTCCCGATAAGAAAGGCCCTTTGTACAACAAGGAGCAGTATTGTGAGAGCACTAATCAAATGTACATAGCAGAAAGCCATGCTTAATCACCGTGGCTTCAGGCAGACACAGAGACACAACAAGCACAGCATGTACTGTGCGGTTTGCAGGGCGGTTTGTTGGCTAACAAGCAGAGATCGAAGCTTGAAAAAAACAATACGAATGTTAAGCGAACAGAAATGGCAGATAAGTGAACTGAATGTACGAATAGAAGAAAATGTTTTTGTTTTTTTTTACAAACAAAGCCTGTTCAAAGTAATTTGCACATTTGCAGCTTTATGCTTCACATGAACAGAAATGGTTGCATTTGCGGTCTATGCTGCAAAGAGTTGAGTTCTTCAGGAGCTACATGTTGTGTTTTTAACCGACCTATCGTAGATGAGCCCATCGATGCCCTGCTCTCTCAGCTGCCGTCTGTTCTCGTGTTCGTTATTGTCGTCTCCCCAGCTGAACACCACCAGGCCTTTAGACTGGGCATCCCTGATGTACGACAGGTTCTTCAGCAGCTCCTCAGTGTGACCACTGATCCCCTAAAAGGACACAGGAGAAAAAAAGTGTTCATCTCAAAACAATATTGTCTGGAGTTTAGCACTGACTAAAAGCACTTAGGATATCTTAAAGACCGTTGACACAGCGCTATGCCAGCGGACTGGTTCTTTGAGTAGACGGTTGTTTTAACTGGCATGGGCACGGTGGACTAGTTTTTCAGGTTCTTTGCTCAAGGCCACTGCAGCAATGCTTGTTAAGAGAAGGTGCAACACATTCTGATACAATAGCTGTTCAAAGACTAGGTCTAGCTATTTTTGGAATTTGGACTTTCAATACATTTAATGAGTGTTTTGGTAACTAAATCCTGTCGTTCCATTGTATCGTATTGCTATATGTGGCATTTAAAAAAAAAACACAAAGTCTGGAGAATTCAGTAGATGCATGATATGAGTATTTGACTTTGTGCAACAACGGCTCACCAGAATATTCTCACTCTGGGCGAAACTGATGGCGATCTGAGTGGTCTGGCAGCGGATGTCCATCAGGTCCGTGTATTTCTCTGAAATGCCCTGAGTCAGGAAGAGGATGGGGTACTTGTTCTGCTTTCGACGCACCCTGAGGGGAACACATGGGAAGATGTCAGCAGCTGTTGGAGAGCACCGTCTGTGTTCATAAATATATCCTGTAAACGCAGCTTCTTAATCAGAGCGAATATGAATCTAAAATGTCTAAACTGACTGAAGCAGAAGTAGCATGCAATCTTTAAAGACAATGTTTTCAGTTGATGTGTGCTTTTAACAACTTATTCAGAATAATTGTGCCAATAAATGGGATTTGTCTGAAGATTAGGAGAAGACCTTCTACGGGTTTTTGTCTGAAACCGTGTAATCCATTTATGAAAGCTAAAAGGTGATCGTGTCTCTGGATAGTAGGACAGCCTAATCAAATCCGGCCACACTTTATGCTCCGTTAACAGCGCTCACATGGTGCAGATATCCGGGTCGAAGCAGGAGAAGACGATGCGTCGGTTTCCTCCTTTTTGCAGAATGCAGGACAGGATGATGTCGAGGAAGGTGTTCATGTTGAAGTAGGATGACAGGTTTCCATCCCACGACCCGTCCTGTTAACAAAACACAAGTTCACCATGAGAATATTCACACTCAATTCTACAATACTAATATTCTTTGCAAAACGCTGCGGTACGTTTGAGCAAGTACAATTAAAAGGTAATTCTTTATTCAAATGGGGAACGCGTGTGATAACAACATCAACAAGCATGACGAATCCTGTCTCGCACGCATGCCTGGTACGGGTGTGTGACCACAACGACTTAAAGAGTCCCAATTACAACACAGCGTATTGTGTTAAGTGTACCCACCTTCAACTGGCAGATCCATTTGAGCTCAATGTTGAAGCCCACGTGCTCAGGAATAGCTTGGAAGATCTGGAAAAGAGGGATGAAGTTTCATCTTACCGTGACTTCGATATGACAAAAGACAGGTAGGTGATAGGTAGACTACAATGACGATAAGTAGCTAAAAATATATATATATATATATATATATAACCGAATCAGTTGCTAAACAGGTAATTCATAGTCATTTGGCAGAGTAGCATCAAACGGGATAGGGGAGGGAGTTCCTAATTTGTCTATAGATATGTCAAGGCAAGGCAAACAGCTCTCACTGATTACATAAACTGTTTAATAATCATAATCATTATAAAGTCAACTCACCTGTGAGAGTGAAGGGAATGGCTGATGCTCATCGATTTCCTCCTCCTCATCCAGCAGATCTGAACCGGCAAACAGACGACGGTTAATGCACATCACACAAAGCATCTGCTGACTAACGTATACATTCAGCTCCATGCCAGTCTTTTCATCTACAGTTTGTATGAGAGTGCTGTATGCAACACAGAAATGAAAGCAACATGTTTTTTTCCAGGCAGAAGGAGATGAAACCACACAAAGAACAGGTGCGTACCTTTGGCATCGTTTTCTTTTATCGCAGTGGCATGGACCAGCTGTGAAACAACACAAAGCATACATTATCTACTCTGTAATCATTCGGTTCAGTTCCATGTTTTATGTTTTGGTATCTTATCATGATACATTTGCATTCTTTCTATTTGTGATTTGTGGGAACTACACCAATTACTAGAAGGCTTTTCCTACTGAGAAGGCACTAATCCCAAACATGCTTCATTGGCTGACGGAAGACACAGTTACACAACTATTTCTTCAATGTCCATTTTATTAACTGGTAAGATGCTAATGTCCTACGTGTAGAGGAAGCACGAAGCAAAGGACATTTGAACTTCTCACAGCAGAAGAGCACCGGTGTAACTAATATCAACATTGTTCACTTTCATCTAAAGGATAAATTTCAACCTGGGTTGTATTTGCATAGTTTTTATCATTCCAGGTTTTTACCTTCAGAAGCTGCAGCTGATCAAATGTCAAGTCTTTGACTGGCACCTCAATAAGCTCCAGAGACGTCTTGTCGTTTTTCTGTGAAGGAGAGATAAAAAGAACGACATTAATTCATCTTAGTAGTGACATACTTTTGCTGAACATCTTTCTAAGCGTCTGTTTAGAGTTAATGAACAATAGAAATGCCAACAGAGAAGTATAGCACGTTGTAAATCATTTTCATTTATTATTTTACCTTCTTGGTGGATATGCAGCACGTCAGATCGTGGTAAACAATGGGAACAGCGTCCTTGGAGAGGTGGACATCAAACTCTACATAGGCTGCACCCTACAAGTACACAATTGACACATAATTAAGGATGACATCATGATAAAAAGGTGAATATTTACTCATGCTCTAATCCATCTGCAGAACTCACATGATTGGCGGCGCTTTTGAATGACGCTACCGTGTTCTCCCTAACTCTTTGGTGCCTGTAAAACACAAATGTAAAAACCATTTGTTGACGGGGGAACAGATACGCAGACGCATCGAGCCTTATTCACACACACACTGTTGCGCTATTAACCAATTCTTTGTGGTTTACGCTCAACACAAGCCGTTAAATCAGCTCCAAGTCAGAGCATGTCGTGGTGACTCACTTGGCTGCATGTGTGCTGCCAGCTCCTCTATGACCCACATTCAGAGTACTTCTTTTCTTCCAGTACTTGGAGAAGGAGGAGCTCATTTCACACTGCAAACCCTGGATGGGTCGGATCACCAGATAGTCCACTAAAACAAGATAAGTCAACAGGTTTCACCCACGTACATTGTTTGTATGAGACAGAGACGAAAAGACAGGTCAAACCAGGTTAGACAGTTCCTCCCTTCCTTTGGCTTACTCGGATCCTTGTCAGTATGAAATTTGTTTGTGCAAACTCTCACCTCTGACTTTCCCGATGGTCTGTCTCGAATTTCGACCCATTATTGGAAGTGTGGCTACTCCGTAGTCCTTCCCGCTCTCGGAGAAAGAGGAGGAGAGGAGGCAAGCGGTGCCCACATAACCCGGATGACCGTCCCCCTGGGCTACATGCTCACTCATATCCTCCTGTGAACAAAACATATCAAATCAGTCCAGCTGAAAACAGATCGATCTAATCACCACACCTGATGTGTTCATTTGTCCCTTGTATTCAAGAAATGTTTTTACTGGTTAATCAGAGGCAGTATTACCTCAAAGAACTCGAAGGTGAGCTCCAGGTTGTACGGGTCCAGGCTGTGGATACTGTACTCGGTCCACTGGGAGGGCTCCAGTGCATAGCCGCACTCGGGCTGAGAGTGGCGCGACTTGTAGCCGTTGGCACTGATCATGCTGATCTCCAGGGTGGTGGTCTCCTTGTGCAAAGATAAAAGACTATACTCGTCTTCGTCCTCATCTTCCTCCTCCTCCTCAAATCCCTCTAATGTCAGCTTGATTCTGAAAGAATGAATCAATAAACACAAGGAAGGTTAAATGAAATCCTGTTTCACTCTTAGTTTCTCTTATTTATATTTCATATGCAGGGTTTCTGTTTACACTTAGGTAACAGCTATAGTAGCACCGTGATAGCACACTGATCCGCCTCATGTCACTGTCAAGTAGAACTTTCTCTGCGTGGTGTTAAATTCGACCTCGCTGTCGTCCCTCACCTGAAGCGAGACTTCTTGTACTTCTTCTTAGTGATAGACACCGGAGAGGTCTTAGAATAGTGCAGACGCAGGCGAATCTCTGTCTGGCACGTGAGCCACCCAGAGTCAACACAGTTCACCCCATCTATAAAAAGGAAGGACAAAGGGAGCATGTGATGACAATGCATATCCATCAAAGAACAACAGCGCCGTTTGTTCTGTTCTGTAAAGAATGACATCAAAAACTGGGCTGTACAAAACACAGGAAGTGACGACAACGTGGCCTCCAGGGATTTATATTTCCCAGTAAGCAATTTAATCATTCTGTAAACCTGCATAATGTTATTAATGTAGAGAGCACCTTAGTTTTTGTGTTCGTCTAAAGTGGTGGCTTTGTTTTGTTTTTTTAAGTCCAACTTACTGTGAATTCCAAATTGTCCATCGTCAATATTTTGGTGTGATGCTGCAATAAAGGAAAAGCGCATTAGACACAGTGTAGAAGAACATTTAAACAATTTCCTGTTCACACAAGAGGAACATCTCAGTTCGATGCCTCCATTGCTCTGATTTCACTTTGCCTCAACTTCAAGTGTCGACTTATCAATAAAATACATTTTGATTCCAAAGAACTCTGAGCATGGGCCTGTGATTAAGGCTAATTTAGCAGGTTTGTGTTCATGAAACCACTCAGAACTCAAACAAAAACACTTCTGGGTCGAATAAAAAAATAAACCTCATATTTGTAACAAATTCTTATTCTAAGGGGAAATGTAAAAAGGTTTGGGTGCCAGGAGATCAGGGTGCAACTATTGTACCGCTCACGCTCATTTTGAATGAGCTTTGTCTGTGATAGCACAACACAATGGCTTTTAACTAGAAAGGTCAGCAATATGGGCTGATGACATCTGCTGCATTGCAGTGTTTACTCCATAGCTATAAATTATTCCTGCAAAGGTTGTCTCTGCTCGCTGCCAAATAAGCAAGAATCTCCAAAATCTACAAATAAATGACGCTGCACTCAGATATGTTCATTTCGACAGAAGAACATACCAAAAAGGTCTCTGAAATATGACCCTTCTTCTTCTTCAGTGTTAGGAAATATAAAAAAAGAACTGCCCTTACATTAGTGTCGATGGGCACATATTGTCCCAGGGAATGGAGTGGGAGGTGCTAAGGGGGGGGGGGTTTGAGTACAACACACTTTCCCAGAACCAATCCCAACGTGCAGCTTATGTATTTATTTCATTCTCTACCTGTGGGGCTCATCGTGCGGGGTTGTTGATGGGTCTCCCACATATTGACTATCACTTGACAGGGACCACCTGCACTCTGCAATTCCAATGTTTGGTACAATGTTAGGACTTTGAAATCAGATATATTGCTATACTTTTCAGTCTCATTTGCATAGCCGCTGTTGGACTAGACTGTCAGAAAGGATTTAGAGATGGTATAGTCACCAATCCCAATCCGGGGCTGTCAGTCACCCTGGTTGAAATCTGAAATGTGGAGTTGTTAGTGAAGAGAAAAAGAAAAATGGCTTCAGTTAAAAATTGAGCTGCTCTCTTCATCTGTAATAAAACAAAGATCAACTTTAGCACCAATATGGTAGTAGCATCACATCACATTTTGTCATTTAATTATATCATTATAGACTTGAAGGGAATATTACACTAAGGACACGAATGCAAGCACTGCTCAAGCCTACAGTTATGAAAAACACGGTCCCTGAGCTTTAACGCTGGATTGCTGCTAACATGAGAGTAACTTCAGTGTCTTAAATTTCAAGCATGACACTGGTTCCACGAAAGAAATAAAAACCCTGGTGAGAGGGAGCCTCTTGAGCCTTACAGCAGCTGTTGAAAGCCAATGACAAATTTGCCTTCACAGGAACCTTGAGCCTATATGCCATTTATAAAGTCAGGATTCTCAGAAACAACACGGCATAATACCATGTAAATCAAGTCAGAGCAGGCTTCTAATCTCACGCAATATGAACCACACCCCTGACATAGAAAAGCACACCATTACTAGAAGACAGTACTCGGGTGATTTTCTGTCCCTTTCTTTTCGGGGGGGGTAAGCTAGCTATTCCACAACAACGCCCTAAAGGCATGAACACAGGCATGGAAAGAGATAAATAAATCTTGTGACTGATCCTTAAGTTAAACTGTGTCGAGTCTAAATCTTTACAACAAACTCAAAGTCATTGGAACAAACAAATAGAACTTGTTTTCTCCATCCCTGCTGATATCTGCAACAGGAAAGGTATGAATTTACACGGGCTTTCAAATTTAACAATATTTATCTTTAGCTGCCGCTTTCAAGGGATTATTCTTTGACAGCACATTAGCAAATCAAATCAGATATTTTGAGGCAACACGGTGATAAATGCAGGAGTCTCTGTTCACCTTTGACTGCAGAAAGAAGCCTTTGAGATAGCGGTACTTGGACACAACTCCTTTAGGCACAGAGACATTTGTAGTCCATGTGTTTCTGTCAGGGAGGAAACACATACGTTCATATTTTAGAGGAAACGCAACATAGTAGAGAACATCAAATACCGTGGTATAATGACTGGGACATTACACATGAGGTTTAACGTACCCATCACTCCCATCAGAGTGTAAGATCACTGCGCTCTGATAGCTCCAGCTTCCTAGGGCTTCACAGCTCCCAACAACTGCAATCACCTCCCCTAGAAGTGTTCAAAATGGCCTTTTACATGATTGCTACATCAGCAGAAACAACAACAAAGATGACTAACATTTATAACAACCTGTACAGTTTAAACTACAATATTTAGATGTCAACATAGATAGATAGATATTATTATATGCTATTATATGTATCATAATGCTATAATTAGCATTATGATACAGGTAAGCAATCAAAGTAACACAGTAAAAAAATATATATATATATATTAAGTATAAAAATGCACAATATGTACAGTAAAAATAACAGACAAAAAAATATTAAATCTAAAAAATGCACAATATATAAAGTAAAAACAACAGACAAAAAATATTAAATATAAAAAATGCACAATATATACAATTAAATAGAATAATATTAAATTAACTAACTAAACAGTAGTGCAAAGAAGATATGTTTGAAATGTCTTCTTAAACAAGGAAATAAATAATCTTACATTCTGTGTCTCATAAAATATATAAAACGTGCAAAATTATCAAAACAAGATTGTCAGAATCATATAACCTCCATTTTTTTTGTCTAAATTGTGAATGAATTCAATATTAGTGTCATATTTTGGCAACACTACACTTCACAAACAGATCATCTATGACAAAATGAATACACTGTATAATAACACGTGTATTACATACCTGGGGATGTTTCGCCTCTGACAGTTAGAGTCACCTGAGCGGCCTCCATAGTGGACACAGGCAGGAAGCAGCTGAAACACAATAAAACATCGTAACCAAACGGTCTTGTTTTATAGAAACCAAACGGTACCGGTGAGTGTCACGTCTACTAATAATAGTCCTACCCTCTTGACGTTGGCAGCTAGCTGACACTACGTAGTCCTTGGCAGTCTTGAAGATGGAGGCTTCACAGTGCGCCAGGTTCAGCTATCCCGCAGAGAGGCATCGGTCTAACGGTACGTTTAGCGGAAGCATTAATAAGCTGTCTCACCGCTGCCGATATAAAGCTCGACGATTAGCTAACTAACTAGATACTCCAGGCGCACAAACAACGCCTGTCGTAGCGCAATAATGAACAACATAGATGTACAATCGAGAGTGTCTAATGCAGAACAATCTGGCCGCCACGAAGAATGTTACACAATGGTCGAGATGCGGCCGGCGAACAACATATAAAGCGAGAATAGCGTCACGTTCAATAACACGGGAAACCAGGATTTCCGGTGCATACTTTCAAAGTAGTTGTGTAATTGATTGACGATGTGTTTAGCAATAAGTAAAAGAGTAAAACAAATAAAGGGTTATTATCAAGGGTAGTATCATTATACACCATACACTGCTGGGTTTTAAGGACTGATTCTGATATATTTTTCTTGGATTGCATATCTTAGAATTTGACTGTATAGTATTCTAGACCATAATTATATTCATGGTATGTCTTCAACAGAGAAGGCTTTGATTGAGCAGAGATCATGATATAAATTGAGATAACGTGTGATTTAAAAGAAAACAAAAAAAACTCCCGGTCTTTATGGAGGCAAAATATTTAATTTGATGTAAGTATTGAAACCTTTTATGTTGAAAGTATAATTTCCATATGACGTGAAGTGTTCTAATTTCCGCCTGCTGTTTGATGAAGCCGGCTCATACCGCCCTGTTCTGGATCCGTGGCGTGTCGGTCAGCTGCATTCACTGACCCTCGGAAACACGGCCACACCCAGCTGAACGGACATGCTCGACCCCCAAAAGGTGGTAAAAAAAACAAAAAAAAAACACAAGAAAGTCGATCTTTTAAATATCGTGCTGACAACACAAAACATTGACGACAAAACAGATGACGTCAAAAGCGACACGATTAAAAGCTTTTGGCGAATTAGTTAGTAACAAACATCCAATACGACACTCGTATATTAGAATGAACGTTACTGCAGTAAACAACATTCGTAAATTAAAATATTTTTGTCACTAGATCCATTTGACCATTTACGACCACATGAGTCAAAAATAATAAAATAACAACGGCGTAGGGAAATGTACGTGAACAAAAATGACTGCATGGCAACAAGGCAACAACACGTGTGCGCATACCCTTTCTAGGAAAAAAACGTGCTGGATGAAAACACAACGTGTTTCGAAGAGAGGACAGGAGTGTTCTGTAGGGGGGGGGGGGGGGTTGAAAGCTATGCCAAGAGCACTATCCTTGACTGTCGGGGATGATTTATATTATAGCCCACAATAACATCAACTACAAAAGCGTCCAGTTACACAACTAAAATGTAACTTGATAACATGCAGCTATTAGACACCTTCACTTTTCACATTCACCCTTCACATACTACTCTACAATAATAATAATAATAATAAAAACAGGTGCTACCATTTCCCTAACATATAGTAGCCTACCACATTGTCCGAACAGTGTCAGTTTATTACCTATTCAGGTTATTACCTATTAATTTAACAGTTATACAGCCCAGCTTGCTAAAACTAAAGCTGCCACAGCAGGACTCTGAGTAGCTCCAAGGAGCATATGGGAATGATGGTGCCTTGCTCAAGGGAACTTCAAAAAGTGACGATACTGTGCATGAGTTTTGGTTGACAAAAAAAGGTTTCCTTAGACAAGCTCCAACCATTTAGGTTTTTAAACGAAACTGCAAACGAAAGAGATGTGACCCTCCTCTGCACACAGTTCAGACGGAACACCAAAGTTTAACCTGTAGCCCCCTCCAGTGTTCAAATGAACATATTGCAGGCAAGGAAGAGAAGACTTTGCAGTATATAAATAAAAGTAAATCAAACTTTTCCAGTAAAAAAACAAAACACTGACACATGCAATATGCCTATTAATATAATCATACATGTGAGGAAATAAAGCAGTGTCAAGTCTTTTGATGAATCAGGGATTACAGGGTCCCTCTTGTTTTCTGTAAGGCAGACACGGCCGAGTACCAATGAGTACAATGAGGACGATGAGAGCTTTCATTTAGGGTTGTGCTGTTTCTAAAAGTTGGCTGTCTTCACGTCTAGTCTGGCTTTGTTAATGAAGACCAACGGGACCCCGCTGTGATGAGGCAGGGTCCAGGTCTCAGAGTGGGAGAGAATCATCCATCTCACCGGGGAAAGTGCTGAACATCTTTGCCCTGGATGTTTCAAGCGTGAAAAGTTTGGAGAGCTAACCTGCTGCCAGAGTGCAGTAACAGTGGATCAGTGCTGAAAAGTGGTTTGAGACAGCGAGGGAGAGAGGGAGAGAGAGGGGGCGTGTGAGGACTTGATGAAAGAGCAAAAGGAAACAGAGAGAAATCATGATGAGTGAAGAGAGACTGCAGCATTATGAATATTTCAGGCTATTCCTCAGCACCCAGCAGTGCTCTCATCACCGACTCACAATGCCAAAAGCTCATTCATTTACACATTTGTTGTTTTAAATCTCTGCCATTGTTGTAGGTTAATCATGGAGTAAGAGTCCCTGGAGGCTGCAGCAAAATCACCAGAATTACAGTTGATGCTGCATCGGGTAGCAAAAGAGAACAAATGTATGCCACTTGAATAATTCATAGTAGTACTAAATCATTGTCATGCTATACTGATCAAATACAAAATATCATACATTATTTTGTACAGCCGCAACATTGATCACATGGTTGGAGTCATAGATGCATCTCTTCGGCGAAGACACATCACTCACTTTGCCTGCATGTTACCAGGAAACACCCAATCAAAAGATGTATAGTGTGGTCCATAGATTTATCATCATTAGTGCATTTTAATTGGTTGATTTATGATCCCAAAATGTATACGACACAAATAAGAACAACAAAACACTGAAGAATAAGGCACACCAAGTAAATAAAATGCTAAATTTGAAGTCCACACATCAATAATGTTGAGTGCAAAAATATACTGTTGAAAATGAGCATAATGGAATATAAGGATCAAATATTCTATAAAAACAATACAAAAGTAATTAAGAAGGCAAAAAGTCCTGCAAGAGAAAAAAATGACTTAAGAATATTCTAATTTTGGGAGAGCTTTCTTTCTATACAGCATGTGGACGCTGTAATATAGTTTCTGATTAAAATCTGTGAATATGTTATCAGAAATGAACCTTCCTGATGATGTGGCCACATCTCCAGTCTAACAATGATATCAATGTTGGTTCAAGTGTTTGGATTAATGTGACATCCGACTCTGAGTTTCCTCTGTCATGCGGCGTTAATGAGTCAGATCAGCTCAGTCGTCAATAGTCACGACATTCTCGAGATCGAGATCCAGTTTCACCTCAGTGTGCTGACTCATCCACTGGTTCCGAGCACTGAAGTAACAGATATGCCCAGCAAAGGAATAGACCCAATTCTCATGGCTCACTTAAAGATTCAGAGACTTAACCATTACAATAATGTACCATTTTTATTGTCACACCATGGCAGAGTGAGTGCACAACAGCAGGTTTCCCACAGCATGGCTGGATAGGAACATATCAATATCCCCAGAATGTGTGCACAAACGTAACTTAAACAAGCAACTGGGAAACAGTTATGGATAAATCCTTATTACTGATGTGTTTGCATTTAGTTTTACATCGTAAATCAATTTTCGGAGAATCGAAAAATAATAGCAGTTAATATTGAAATTCCTGCAAGAAATCCACTGCAACGCATACAGTTTTCACATAAAAATCAGTCATATGGATGAATGTGGGTACTGAAAATGAGCTGAAATATATTTACTTATGGGTTGAGTCATTGAATCAGCAGGAGTGTGCAGAGTAATCTCTCACATTTGCCTGCAGTTTGATCCCCATCTACTGGCGATGAATACACAATCTCTGCCTCATTTCTTCTGTTTGTCTCTCTTCCCGTTCTGCTAACTCTGTTTACGTCCAAAAGATAAACTTTGAAAGCTTTGAAGTGCTTACAATAAATCTCATAAAGTGCCTGAAAGCTGAGGAGGACTGATGAGATCATGTCGATTTCAGAAAAGAGAAAATAAAAGCAGTTCCTCAAAGCTGAAGTCTCACAGATAAAAATAAAAAATTGGTGCTGGTAGCCTTCTATGATGAAAAGAGAATTGCTGAGTTGTCATTATCATTTCCCATTGAAATTCAGATTACTGGCACAGTGTTGCATAAAACTCTATCGTGAATCTCTGCACAAAACCCCAACACCAACTTACCAAAATGTGTCCCATAACGCGTAAAAGAGACATCCAAAGAAAAGGTGAGATTTTCTGCGAATGACTTGCGCTATTGTACCATCCTGAAATAACATTAGAGTGTGCAGCCAACCATTGAGCAGAGGCCCAAATGGACCTGGGGGAAAACCGATGGCTCCGCAGTTCAGAGCATTACGCAATATCATACCTGCCTGTCAGAGCTGCTGAGACTGAGGACATGAATACAGAGGGAAAGAGATGAAGGCACGGGGCCAAAGAGAAAGATTGAGATGGTTTGTTTTCGGTGTTTGCTTCCGCAGAAAGAAACACAATAACAGCTAGAGGGTTGCTGATGTGGCTTTTTAAGAAGCTGCCTACATCATTGTGAAGATAGGGGCTGTGTGATAATACATTTATCCACAGGCTAAATTTAATTTCCTTTGAAAGAGGAGAACGAAGAACCCATCTCTCTAGTTTTCTGTCTGTGTGTGCGTGTGTGTGACCGGCCGTGAGTTACTGGAAGAATACTGAGTAACAGTGGAACACGGCAACACTTTGATTGTTTAGTTGTTCTCTTTTAATTGGTGTTGACAGAATGTGGGAGCTCCAGTTCACATGCAGATATTTTCATTTCTGAAAAACATGGTTTACACTTTATTAAAAAAATAAACCCACTGCTGGCAGTTTTGCAACAAGTAGGTCAGAAAACATACATAAACTTACTGTTATCACACATCAACCAGTGATGGCTAGTGCCTCGAGACAATACCTCTGCAGATTGACCCTTGTTAGAAACAGCCATGTGAAAGAGAAAGGCTGATAGGACTTTACTTTCACCATCTGATGCACCGTAACAGACAATAGCAATAGATACACAGATAAAAAGCAAGTAATGAGCACAATAAGGCAGAATTTAAGGTCAGTGAGACCTTCAATTTGTATAATCATCTGTATAAGACATATTGAAAAGGATAATAGCATGCATAAATATCGTGGCTGTATCCCTTCTATGACACCACCTTATAGAGCAAGTTCATCCGTGACCACTGTGCTTCTGAGCGGTTGCTCACTCCCCCGGCCCTGTGGCGTGTTGTCGTCTTCCGACCTGTCGTTGGATCTATTACCCTCCCATGGGCAGAAAGGGACGTAGCGAACCCAAGGTTGGGACGAGAGGCGAGAGGTTATGCCAAAGGGGAGGTCATACACCCCTTCAGTTCCCGCTGCATAGATAGAGTCCTCAAGATCTGCTTTACCCCAGGCTAGGAGGCCACGCTCACGTTTGGTCCCTAAGACGGTAATATTAGAAAGACTGTTAGACGACACACACATAGTTTACATGCACTGAATGCTATTTGATTCGATAACAATCTTCCACTTAAGCTTACCAGGAATTGTGTTATCCAGAAAGAAGCCCAGAACCCCTCCCACGAACATATTTGTAGTCAATAATATACGTAACACTTGGTCTACCTCTTTAACACCTGAGTGACACACCAAGGGCAAAAGAGAGAGACAAGTCCAATACAGTCAAAATACTTTCAGATTGATATGCATCACCTCTAATCCAATTAAAAGACTGACTGCAAGCTGTTCAAAGTAATGACATTTCTTGTTAGATACCTGTTTGTAATAAATCCGGATTCTTCATTAGGAAGTTTGGAATGACGAGTGCAGAAAACATGGAAAAACCAAAAACAAATATGTTCCTGGAGGAATTCATGTCTGTGGACTGTAAAATGGCATGTGTCAGCAAAATTCTGAATAGTGGCAAAGCATTTGGAAACAATGTGAGGAAGTATCATAAGTCATATACAGTATTACCTGTAGATTAGAAATTCCTGCTGCAGTTATGACTCCAAACATGATCAGGAACATCCCTCCCATCACAGGGGTGGGGATGGTGGCGAAGATGGCTCCAATTTTACCCAGCACCCCCATCAAAATCATGAAAACCCCACTCACCAGGATCACCGTCCGGCTACCCACCTGTAGGCACACAAACAAGTAGTTTGAAATATAAGAGTTTTGTTTGTTCTGTTGGTCCAAATCCAAGTCAGCTATGAAGTCATGCAGTAAAAATGAAGGTTAGACTGTAGGGTTGGACGTATCTTACCTTAGTGATCCCCAGGGCAGCCACATTCTCACTGAATGAGGTAGTGCCGTTGCCCGTGCCAAAGGCCCCTGCCAACAAACTACCGAGCCCTTCAACACCAATGCCCCGGCTGATGGCGTGCTTGGGGGGAGGAGGGGCCCCTGACAGCCTGGCACACGCGTGATAGTCGCCCACAGACTCGACCATGGAGCATACTATCCCAGCCATCATGCCAAACACACCTGCCAGGCTCACAGCTGGCATGCCCCACTGACCTATCCAATAACCACAAAGTAGTGGTTATTGAATGGCATATAAATACATCTAAATACTTTCTCTTAACTCCCTGACACATGAGGTATGTTGATAGTGTTCCTGTGGACCTACCGGGATAAGGTATTGTGAACCAGGAAGCCTGGTTCAGCACATCTCCCTTCACATCGGTGCGTGCCAGGTGGCCATACTGGGCTGGATCAGATGGTAGGACGTCAGAGATGGTGAGGAGGTAGCAGACAAACCATGACACCGCAATGCCCAGCAGAATCTAATAAGATATCTTATATTAGTATCAGTATTTCCAAGTAACCAAAAATGGTTTAAAATATACATTGTATAATAAAGTAGAGTATTATAGTCAAAACAGTATGTATCTCATAGTATCTGAGTGTATTGTGAAGACTTTCCAGAGAACCTACAGGCATTATCTGGAAGATATATAACTTTGAGGTGTGCAGTTTCTTGGCTCTGCTGTATGCAGGAACAGGGATCGGTATGCGACGGAGGTACTGGGAGAACAGGATGATCAGCACCGTGGTCCTGTGTGTATGAGGGGAGCTGTCATTAGCATGATGAGGCTAAATTAGAGACTGATACCAGGAAACAGGGAAGTGATGGCACCATCTCCACTGAAGGAAAATACTGCCGGAACACACAGTGAAAACATTTCCCTTCTATCTGGGCAGAGAGACGTTTACTGATGCAGCAAGCGCTCACGTACATAGCAGAGATGCCCCAGTGGCTGCCGACCTTGGCTCCGACTGAATCGTACAGCGACAGGCCTATGAGAGAGACTGTGGGGGCAATGGTTAAGGGGCCAACGAAGCGCATGAGGAAGCCGATAAGGCCCGAGAAACCGATCAGGATCTGGAGCAGAGAGGCCACCATGATAGAGCCCTGCAGCTGTGGACAGTAACACAGTAATCAAGATCATTAGCATCAACGTCACCACTCTCTCTCTCTCTCTCTTTGTAGAGTGACATACTATAATACCAACATGAAAGGTTACTTTCTGGAGAGGAAACTACAAAAGCTCGCTGAATTAATCATAAGTGCTGTTTCACGTCAAGCTTTGATCAGTTCTGTGAATGCACGGTGTTTGTGCCGGCTCACTGTTCTTATGCGGGTCTGCCACACTTCTATGAAGAGAGGTGAGGAGGTGTTGACCAGACTGGCGTTCTGGGTCCAAGCTGGGCACTTCCACTCTGGCATGGACAACATGGCCATGGAAGGGGTCAACAAAGCAAAGGTGCCCCCCTGTAGGATGGGAAGCCTACAAGTGTGACATGAACAGAAACGATTCTCTGTCAGACAAAATCATTTTACGTCGACGAATGTATAAGACTACAAAACAGTTCAGTATGCAACTGGTTAGCTTGCATTCAATGGACATTTTTCTTTTCTTTTTATTTTGGTATTGAATCCATTTTTGCCACTAAAGTTTGCCAAAATGTTATGTCAAATAACATGCACAATAATGAGTTATTCTACAAGGTATTAAGTGCTAACACATGCATGCTAACATGCTCACAACATGTTGATGTTTGGAGCTGATGGGAATGTCATCGGTTTTGCAGAACTGAACAGCAAAGTTACATATTCAACACTATCAATAACAATCTGACATGGTCCTCACACATCTCCATCCTGGTGGAAAAAGCTCCAAAGTGGCTGTATTTCTTGAGGAAACTTCCTGTGCCAAGTTCGCATTAACAGAGGAGCAATAGAAAGCATTCTGCTTGGAAATATTACAAACTGGCATGGGGTGTACACAGCCCAGCAGGCAGCAGACAACAGGAGGTCTACCAGAGATTATCGTTTGCCAAAAACAGTGAATTGCTGCTGCTTAAAAATGGTTTCATAAGAGCAGTGCGACTGAACCATCAAGTAAATGTGGCAAACAATCTAAGCAGCTGTGAGCTCAGTTTGTCAGACTTTTGTTCACATAAATACACCAATACGTGGAACTTTAAGACTGTGTCCATAAAGTATAAGCACAAGTAAAAAGTTAAACTTTTCAAGGTTCTCAAGTTCGTCTCAACTATCTTGCCAATCGTCCTGTACAGTATGGTGAGCGGTGGAATGAACTAGCACCATCATTCTGACCTGACACCGAAGGTGACCTGCAGCAGGGTGATCAGGCCACTGGAGAAGAAAATTGTGTTAATGAGATGACTCTGGGTCAGGCTGTCGTGCTGCAGGCACAGCCCCTCCGAGAGAATGAGGGGGATGGAGGTCATGGCACCGAATGATGTCAGGTAATGCTGCACAGGAGAGGAACAGTAATGAGAATGACGAATTGACGTTATTGATGACACGCCTAAAAACACCGAACACATTAAGAATGCTGGTCTATACGACATACAGCATGTCACTTCTCTCTCTGGGTTGATACAAACAATGCTAAGTTAATCTTGATTACAGCACTTCAACAGAATACACTTGCATTTGTACCAGTACACACACTGCTGAGTACATCGCTGCAACTCAGTTGCTGCTACGTGGGCAGACAGCTTGACGAGTTTAATTTAGTTTGTTTGAAATGTCTTATACAACAACTTTGGGCCAGTTGCCTGCATACATCGCCGCTTGTTTTTGAATTAAGTGTGTTTTGGGACGCCTTGTAGCCCATTAGTGTCAGTGAGTACTAACTCTACAGAGAACACCTTTCTAGTTACCCAATTTATTTCATAATTTGGGTTCAACGAATAAACTCACAAGAATTTCAAGGGAGATTTGAACTCCTTTTCACACTCACCTGAATGGCCAGAAAAATACAAAGGTACCACGGGGGAACGTCAGTCACACAATAGGTTAGTTTATTTCCATCTTCCTCTGTTTCACAGCTGCTCCCACGTGTCTCCTTTCCTCTTTGTTCATCATTGACATCCATCTGCACCACCATATAAAAAAAGTAAAAACATTTCGGATTATGTAGTGAAGCAGATGGACACATCAGGGAGATAGACAAATGTGTAAAGTTACAAGATAATTCATTTGAATAAATAATGCAATTCAGAATACAGTGTTAGATCCGGGGGTTCACGGCCCGATACAGGGCGAACTGCTTACTCAGCTCTCTATTAAAAGATTGGCAAGCTGGTGTTCTGTGAGGAAACTCTGGAAACTCCTGGTTCTGCTAACTTCCTCAATGCTCCGAGTGTGTGTCCCACACCCAGTTGTACTTCCCCTACATCAGTTCTTACTACACACACGGACTGTACTCAAGTTTCTACACATACATTATTATAATCAGTTTACATTTGTTAAATCACTTCATATTTATGTAATACACATTTGTTTTAAAATGATTAATAGATTTCATCCTTTAAACTATAAGTATACGCTTTTGTGTCCCTTTAGCCTGATTCATCTTCCGAACATGTATTTCATCACTTAAGGCAGCCTTCCTGGGATCTCAACTCTTTTTGACAACAGTGATTGGTCACAAGCGGGAACTTCCACCCTCACTCCCTTGCAGCTAGTCTGCTTCTTTTGCGACAGACTGTGAACAATTTCATTTCTTTTTCTTTAAGTACATACTGCAGCTGCTCTTACAAAGTAAGTTGCATGCAGTATGCATTCAATTGGAACACACTATTGAGCTTATTAAAGAATGTGTATTATGCCTCGCAAAGTGAAATTTGTACTTACACTTCAATTGTAGCGTCATTGACGTGACAGAGCTGTCCACCACTGTCTATTATGAACTTGTCGTCACTATCAAATAGCATTGTGGAATATTTATGGTGGCCCAGTGTCCAGTGTTTGCATTTTGTAATATTTCACTGGAAAAAGTATGCAATGCGCATAGTTAATATTATACTAAGTTTTCGGAAAAACTAAAAAAATCTCACTGTTTTAGCATACTAAATAGAAGTTAGTACGGAATTGGGGACGCAACCTAGATCTATTTTCTGGCTCACTAAATAGTATGGTAGGATAGGTATTGGAGTGCACAGCCAATCACTCGCATCAAAGTATTTAACCGTGCAGATTGTGAAGTGAACTGGCAAGGATATGTCTGCATGCACAGACTTGCAAAATGCAGTTGGCAAATAAAATGTATAAGAAGAAAAAGAAAGAAGAAACCATTTTTATTGTCATATACATATACATGCATTTGACCCATCCCTGTATATAGGGAGCAGTGGGCTGCCAATGATAGGCGCCCGGGGAGCCAGGGGTTCAGTGTCTTGCTCTGGGAAACCACGACACGTACCAGTCGAGGATCGAACCGTTGACCCTACGGTTAGCAGACAACCCTCTTAACCCAGCGAGCCACGGTCATCCCAGAACAAAGTCAACAAAAATACGGTTTTGTAATTTAAACGTTTACAACACTACGGTTTCCAATTCTGTTTAAGTAAACCTATTGGAATGATATAATATTCCATACTCCAGTTGGTATGTAGAAGGAGTTTCCGGACGAAGACTGTCGATAAGTTACTTTCAGACACCAACTGCATACTTATTTTGGGATCTGACTATATGCTTTGACATGTGCTGTGGAACAAAGAGAGTCAGGCCTTGCCTTTTTCAAGCAAAGGTTTCATCCTGATTGTA